CTCTCAAATATTTCTTTTTCATCTGTTTATCTGTTCGTGTATATATAGGTTGCTTCCAAGATTTAGCTATTATGAATTATGCTGCTGCAAACATAGGTATGCATAGATCACTGTAATATATTTTTAACTCTTTTGGGAATATTCCTAGAAAGGGAATAGCTGGGTAGAATGGAGTTTCTGGTCTTCTCAGTTTGAGGAATCTCTCAAATATTTCTTTTTCATCTGTTTATCTGTTCGTGTATATATAGGTTGCTTCCAAGATTTAGCTATTATGAATTATGCTGCTGCAAACATAGGTATGCATAGATCACTGTAATATATTTTTAACTCTTTTGGGAATATTCCTAGAAAGGGAATAGCTGGGTAGAATGGAGTTTCTGGTCTTCTCAGTTTGAGGAATCTCCATACAGATTTCCATACTGGTTGTACTAGTTCACATTCCTGCCAATAATGTAGAAGGACTCCTTTTTTTCTACAACCTCACCAACGTTTGTTATTGTTTAACTTTCTGATGATGGCTGTTCTTTCTAGGATAAGATGGAATCTCAATTGTTTTAATTTTCATTCCTCTATTGACCAGTGATATTGAACATTTTTCATGTATTTAATTGGCCATTTGTACTTCTGAGAAGTGTCTGTTTGTTTCACTTATCCATATTTTGATTGGGTCTTTTATTTTGGGGGAATCTTAGTTTTTTTTAGTTGTTTATATAGTCTAGATACGATTCCTCTGTCTGTGGAACAGCTGGCAAATTTTTTCCCATTCTGTAGTTTGTCTCACTCTGTTTGTTTCTTTTGCTATATACAGAAGAAGCTTTTTAATTTGATATAATCCCAGTTTTTGATTCTTATTATTTCTTTGCAGTCGGGGCTCTGTTCAAAATAGCCTTACTGCTGAGTGTGGTGGTACACATCTGTAATCTCAGCACTTGGGAAGTTTAGGCAGGAGGATTGCCACAAGTTTGAGGCTAGCCTGGGGTACATAGTGCGTTCAAGGCCAGCCTAAACTGTATCATGAGACCTTGTCTCAGAAAACAAACAAACCTGACAAAATGCCCTTACTTATGCCTATGTCTTTAGGAGTTTGACCTATTTTATCTTCCAGCAGATTGTTTTCTGTTTTGATATCCAGGTCTTTGGTCTATTTTGATTTATGTTGAGAGATAGGATTACATTTGTTCTTCTGCGTGTGGATAGCCAGTTTTCTTATCCCTGTTTGACAGAGGCTATCTTGCTTCTAGGGCAATGATGACGAACCTTTTAGAGATGAGTGGGCCTTTTAGAGATAAGCATCCAAACTGTCACCCAAAACCTACTTATTTATCACAAAGTGCTGACAATGCAATTAAAGCTGAATACTGAGGTTTTAGTTTAGGAAAAAAATAACAAACTCATACATTAACATCCTTTGTTTTAAAAGAAAACCAACATGTGCCATAGGTTTGCCACCACTAAGGTAGAGAATATGTTTTTGGCCCCTGTGGTGGCTGAAAGTACCTAGGCTGTTTCTGTGTCCTCTATTCTGTCCCATTGATTTGCATATCTGTTTTTGTGCCAATACCATTCTCTTTTTATCTTTGTAGTTTTGTAATGTAACTTGAGATCCAGGATTACATTGCCTTCTGCTTTGCTCTAGATTCCTAGGATTGCTTTTGCTATTCTGGATCTCTTCTGGTTCCCTATAAATTTTAGGATTTTTTTTCTCTATGAGGAATGCCGTTGATATTTTGATTGGGATTACATTAAATCTATGTCAGAAAAATAGGTTTTTTATATCTAAACATTCGTTTTTATCCTGAGTCTCTCACTTTTTGGTCTGATTATTTCATTTATTTACAAACTGTGGGAGTGTAGGCAACCTGATGACTCTAAGCCTCCATTCTCTTAACTATAAAAAAAGAAAACTGCCTCACTAGGGTTGTTAGTGAGGATTAAATGATATAAATGTATGTGTGTGTGTGTGTGTGAGTGTGTGTGTATGTGTGTGTGTGTGTGTGTGTATACTCTAACCCAGGGTTCAGTAGACTCATTCTGAAAGGCCGAAGTAGTACCTACTTGGGTTTGTTTTGTTTTTATAGACCACAAAGTCTTTACCCTAAATTTTTAGCTCTGCCTCTGTGACAGGAAAGATAAGGCAGCAGGCTGTATTTGACATGAGGGCAGTTAGTTTGAAGGCACCTGCTGTACCCTATTAAGTACTGTGTAAATGTTGAGTAATTGTCATGACTTTCTCTCTTCAGGCTAATGTAATGCTTGAGTATGATGTTGATGAAGCTCAGGCTTTGTTGGAAAAGAATTTATCAACTGCCATGAAGAACCTTGATTCTCTTGAGGAAGACCTTGACTTTCTTCGAGATCAATTTACTACAACAGAAGTCAGTATCCTTTCTTAAAAAAACAAGAGAAGAAAGAAGGCAGAAATGTTAAAGATTCTTTTATTGCTTTAGTAGACTGTCTTTAGGCTAACATGAGTCTGGAGATTTAATAATAATGTATTTGAAAGTAATAAAGTTTTCAGATTAATGAATTTGAAATGTGATAGTGTGGAAATTCATATTGGTGAACGAGTATTCTATTAAATATTTTCTGAAGACACCTTTATGGCCAGTTAAAAAATTTAATCCTGCAAGCATTTATTTACTTATTTTTCATTTTCTCATATTTCTTCCTTTTCTTTCTTTGAATTCCCTTACCCCTTTCACTTCTCCTTCCCCTTTGCACCTTTTCTTCCTATTTCACATCTATTACACATTTTGATCCTTATTTTCACTTTCAGTTTCTCATACCACAGAAACTATTTGGTATTTATACATGTGTGTTCTATTTATTTCACTTAAGAGTATGGCTTCAGTGTGCATCCATTTAGCTATAAATGTCTCTAGTTTCTCATTCTTTATGGCTGAGTAGTGCTCCGTTTTAGAAAAAAAAAATCACATTTTCTTTATCCAGCAACCAATTAATGGCCTTTTGGGCTGTTTCCAACTTTTAGCTATTATAAACTGTGCCACTATAAACATGGGTACATATATATCACTGTGATATGATTCATTTTAATTCTTTTGGGAAGATATCCAGCAGGGGAATAGCTGAGTCAAATGGTACTTCTAATCCTAGTTCTTTGAGGAATCTTCACACTGATTGCCACAGTGGTTGCACCAGTCTATACTCCCACCAACAGTGGAGAAGGGTTCCTTTTTCCACACGACCCTGCCAATATTTGTTATTGGTAGATTTCATGATAGCAGCCATCCTTTTGGGGGTGAGGTGGAATCTCAGAGTTGTTTTCATTTGCATCTCTCGAATGACCAGTGATGTTGAACATTTTTTCATATGTTTATTTGCTATTTCTACTTCTGTGTCTGAGAAATGTCTATTCATTTCAAATGCCCATTTTTGGATTGGGTCTTTATATTTGGGAGGTCTGATTTTAAAGTTCTTTATGTATCTTAGATAGTAGACCTTTGTCTGAGGAACAGTTGGTAAGAATTTTTTTCCCACATTGTGAGTTGCCTCTTCATGATGTTGGTGGTGTTTCTCTTGCTGTGCAGAAGCTTTTTGATAAGAGATCCCACCTGTTGATTCTTCATGCTGGTTCACATGTGACTGACGTTTTATTCATGAAATCTTTTCCTACACCAGTGTCTTCAAGAGTTCTACCTAAACTCTCTTCTAAAAGGTTTAGTGTTTCTGTTTTAATATTTAGATCTTTAATCCATTTCGATTTTAGTTTACTGCATGGTGAGAGATATAGGTCTAGTTTTATTCTTCGGAAAGTTGAAACCCAGTTTTTACAATACCATTTATTAAAGAGTCTGTCTTTCCTCCAGTGAGGGTATTTGGCTCTTTTGTCAAAGATGAGGTGGCTGAGTATGTCTGGAATTGTTTCTGCATCTTCTAATTGATTTTACTGATCCTTGGGTTTGTTTCTTTTTCAGTACTATGCTGTTTTTGTCACAGTAGCTTTGTAGTATAGTTTCAAGTTGGGGATTATGGTACCCCCTACATTGTCTTTATTGCCTAGAATTACTTTTGCTATTCTAGGTCTTTTCTTATTCCAAATGAATTTTTGGATTGATTTCTCAAGGTCTGAAGTATGATGTTGGAATTTGTATTGAATCTATAGGGCAGCTTTGGAAGTATGGCCATTTTCGCTCTATTGGTTCTTCCTACCCAGAAGCAAGGGATGTCTTTCTCTTTTCTGATATCCTCTTCGATCTCTTTTTTCAGAGTGCTATAATTTTCAGAGTAGAGGTCTTCGGTTTCTTTTGTTAGATTGATTCCTATGTATTCTGCTATTTTTTTTAATGTTATTGTGAAGGGAGTTGTTTCTCCAGTTCCTTTTCCATTGATTCTGTTGTTTGTGTACAGTGAAGCTATTGATTTTTGTGTGTTGACCTTGTATCCAGCTACTTTACTAAATTTGGTTATTAAGTCTAGAAGACTTGCTGGAGTTCTTGGGGCCTTCTATATAGAGTATCATGTCACCTGCAAATAATAATTTGAATTCTTTGTTTCCTACCTTTATTCCTTTTATTACTTTCCCTTGTCTAATTGCTGTGGCTAATGTTTCTAAAACTATATTGAACAGGAGTGGTGTTAGTGGACACCCTTGCCTTGTTCCTGACTTTAGTGTGAAGGATTTCAGTTTTTGACCAGTTAGTATGATATGGCTGTTGGTTTTTCATAGATGGCTTTTATCCAGTTGAGAGAGAAACCGTCTAGTACAGTTTTCTGTGGGGTTTTTATCATGAATGCTTGTTAGATTTTATCAGATTCTTTGTCTGCATCTGTTGAGATCATCGTATGGTTTTTGTCCTTGGTTCTATTAATATAGTGTATTACATTTATTGATTTACGTGTGTTGAACCATCCCTGCATCCCTGAGATGAATCCCACTTGGTCAGCTTGTATGACCTTCTTGATGATGATCTGCATTCTGTTTGCCAATATTTTATTGAGGATTTTTGCATCTGTGTTCATTAGTGAGATTGGCCTATAGTTCTTTTTTCAGTTGGGTCTTTCTCTGCTTTTGGGATCAAGGTGGTGCTTGCTTCCAGGAATTTAGGAATATTGCTTCCCTTTCTATTTCATTGAAGAGTTTAAATAGTAATGGCAGTCGTTCTTCTCTAAATGTCATAGAATCCAGTGGTGAAGCCATCAGGACCCAGGTGTTTTTTTAGTTGGTAAGTTTTTAATTACATTTTCAATTTTATTAATATTGGGTTGTTTAGAATTGTTAGGTCTTCATTCAACTTCGGTAGTAATTCATATGTATCTAGAAATATGCCCATTTCTTCTGTGTTTTCCATGCTGTTGGTGTATATGTTCCCAAAGTAGGTATTGATGATCCTCTGGATTTCTACTGGGTCTGTGGTAATTTTACCCTTTTCATTCCTAATTGAATGGATTTGGGTTTTTTCTTTCCTTTTTTTGATAAGGTTGGCTAAGGGTTTGTTAGTTTTTTTTATTCTTTGGAAGAACCAGCTCTTTGTTTCATTGTTTTTTGTATCATTCTCTTAGTCTCCATTGCATTAATTTCTGCTTTGATCTTTATAATTTCCTCCCTTGTATGAGCTTTGGGTTTGTTCTGCTCTTTTTCTAGAAGCTTGAGGTTCAGTATTAGGTTGTTTATTTGAGCTCACTCTGTTTCCTAATATGAGTATTTATTGCTATGAATTTCTCTCGTAAGACTCCTTTCATTGTGTCCCATAGGTTCCCATATGTCACATTGGCATTGTCGTTTAATCCTGCAAGCATTTATTAGGAGTCTTTGTTTCTGTAACTGGGGAAATCACTGGGGAGGGGAACGAGTTACAATGTATTTGTTAAAACTGCACATGTAACGAGCTAAATAATAACTGCATGGCAAACTGTTAAGTTCACATAGACAAACCTAAGGCAGTTTAAAGTTTGGGACGACCATTTGTGGGCGGGAGTTAGGTCAGGGAGGCCTTTGTTGAGAAGATGAAACTTAGTGGTCATGTACAATTTATATCAGCAGAGTGAAAAGGTGAAGTGAGGTATTCTGGTCAAGAAGTTGGGAAGGCATGTTGAAACCAGCCTCCTTAACACGTCTTCGTTTTTCTCTCTGTCTTTCTCTAGTTGCTCTTGGTCACTCAGTATAAACACCAGGGGTTATCCTTCAAACTTCTCTTCCTCACTACCAAGAGTAAACCTATCACTGGGTCTTGTCAATTTTCCCTCATATATCTCTTCATATTGCTGTTACTCTAGTTATATCCTCCAGAACATGCACTTAGTAGTTTTCTATATGTCCTTCACACTACCTCTAGCATGAGGTTACTAAATCATGTATCTTATTTTTAGTCTTCTGGTTTTGACATTTCAAGTTACTTGTTGCGTGTAAGTTATACAGATAGGCACTCAAGTGTCCCTGGCCAGTCTTGCCTCATGCCATGACCGTTTCCTGCCCTGGCTCTTCTCTAGTATACTGTAGGTTCCAGATAATTGCAGTCAGCATGGCTTTTGCATTTCTGCATTGTGTTCTTCCTACCTGGAATGATTTCCCCTTTTTCACTTGGGGATATTCCTTTGTTCTTCCTACCTCAGTTCAAATATCTAAACATTCCTTTCATTTCCTAACCTCTTCAGGATTGTTGTTCTTCTGTGCTTACTTAGTGCTTTGCAAATAGCTTTTTGTTTTCCTTGCCTGAGTTCTTCAAGTATAGGAGCAATTTAAAGTTTCTTCTCCAGCTTGTAGAATATGGTAAGTGCTCATTGCCCGAGTGAGAGAAGACAGGCCTGTTTGAGGCCAAGTGCAGGGACCATCACCTAACTGATAATGACAAAGTGTGAGGTGACAAGGACCTGGGAGGCTGGTGTTTGTGGAAAGATGTGCAATGTGAGAGAAAAATAGTGACTTAGTTCCAGGAACCAAAAGAAAGGACATCATCTAAAGTGAGTCCTACAAGCTTAGAGAAGTGCTCTACATTACTCCTCGTGCTGGAAAAGGTAGGTGGTATACAGACACCAGAGAAAGCTAGGGCGCCTAGTATTTGATATATCTGCCAATCTGATCGAGTCTGAGCTCCATGAGAGGAAGACTTCACCTGTCTTATTCAAGGCTTTGTAGAGTACCTGGTCTGAACACAGTAGATGCTTAACGAATGAATGGCCTCTTAAACCAAAGGGAGTGTAAGGATAGCGTCATTGATATTTGTACTAATTGTAAATATTGTATGGCAGAATATGAGTTGAGTGATCTTTGAAATTTTATGGATGAGGGACTTATCTTTAAAACTGTTGAGCCAGGCATGGCCGCACATCCTATATTCCCAGCTACTTGGGATGCTGAGGCAGGAGAACCACTTGAGCCCACAAGTTCCAGGGCATCCTGGACAACATAGTAACAGTGTCTAAAAAAAAAAAGTGCATATTTATTAAAAATACCTTAGTTGACTATGCTGAACAATTATTGATTGGAAATTTTGACTTAGTTTTGGTAGAATTTCATTCCAGTCTTTTCTTAGCAATTGATAACTCAAGGTGGCTGGCAGTACTAGTTGTTACCAGTATTTGTATGTGTATGATTTCTGCATTTTTTATTCGTGACACTTTGTCATTGCATGTTATCTTTAGAGTTGCATTTGCATTTTCTTTAACAGTTCTTGCAGATATGGCCAGAGTTTATAATTGGGATGTCAAAAGAAGAAGCAAAGACGATTCTACCAAGAAAAAAGCATAATATTAGCTGGCAATTAAAAATGTGGTTCAGTTTTCCAAACGTGTAACTTTAAATTCCCCAGCATTTTTCCTTAAAGATTGACATAACTTTAATGATTTTTTTTTAGCAGCAAGAATGTTTGAAACTTAAAAAAGATAAACACCATTTTATTTATTTATCAAAACAGTTCGTTTCAAATATTTTATGAAATTAACAGTATTTTTTCACATTTCCAAGCAAAATTAATACTGTTTTCATCTTTTTTTTTGACTGTCTGTTATAAAGGCAACTCTTAACTGAAATTGGTGGAAAACTGATGTATGCTATGGAAGCTGAATGCTGGGCATTAGCACACTTTACTTCTTACTGACTTACGTGGTTAAATCATTTTAGAGGTAGAAAAGACAGACAGTTTTAGTATTTGTAAACTTATTTTTTTAGTACTTGTAGGACTTTATAGTCCTCTGTTGCTGTTGTCTTCTGTCGATGGGGTTTCGTGAGTTACTGCTTGACCAATAACTACTATGATATTCTGAACTTTTCAGAAAATGCTGATTTGCCTTCCTACACAATAAGAGGGCTATAGCACTTCTAACACCAAATAAGTGCACAATGTCTTTCCCATGCCGGCATAAGGGAGATCATAGCCAATGTGAAATAGTACTGCACAGTCGAAATCCTTAGCTAAGGTGATTTTATATTTCTTAACAGTTCTCTAACAGTAATATTAAGATAAATGTAAATCTGTAATGGTTGAAAAGAATTAGGAGCCTTTTTATTCATGATAAACCTGCATAGGAATAGTAAAAAAAAAATCCCTCTGGAAAGTCGTTGGTACAGTGGCAAGTACTGGGTAATACAGATTTGAGTAAAAACACAAATGTATTATTATTCTATCTCCATGTAGTAAAAAGTATACTTGTACAATGTTTTGTACTTGTATTTCATGTTATTAAAACAAAATAGTGATGTTGAAACTGGCATGTGAGACTTTTTTCATAATTACTCTTGTTTTAATCTGTTTGGGTGGCTGTAATAGAATACCATAGATTGGGTAGCTGAGAAACAACAGGTATTTATTTCTCATAGTTTTGGAAGTTGGGAAGTCCAAGATCAAGGTGCTGATAGATACAGTGTGTGGTGAGGTTTACTGTGTGGTTCATAGCACCTTCTTGCTGTGTCTTCACATGATGGAAGAGACTAGGGAACTCCCTTGGGCCTCATCTTTACGGGCACTAATGCCATTCATGAGGGCTCACTTCCCAAAGGTCCTATGTCCTAGTACCATCACTCTAGAGGTTAGGATTTCAACATCTAAATTATGGGATGACAAAAATATTGAGACTACAACCATCTTTATAAAGTTAACAATGTCTTTTCACATATTTGTAAAATTTATTTACCTGCACATACCTAGCATATTCTAAGAGCTTTTGACATATGTAGAAACAGTATAAAATCACTTTGGAAGGAATACAGTTAAGCTAGCAATTAAGAGGTTAATCTGAAAAATACTAAAGTTCTTTGATTCAGTTTATCTTTCATAATTTTAAATTCCCATATTTTAGAATTTGAGATTTATGAACATATTGAGTTATTATAAGTGCTGTTTCTCCCCAAACTTTATTATGGTAAGTATGTTAGTATAAAATGTCCCTGTTAGATCAGGAATGATTTTCTCTGAATATATTTATCTTAAAAGTCTATGAAGATGTAAATATGAATCTTTAGGTAACATGAATATGAAGAAATAAAACTCCTTATCTAAAAGATTTACAGGACAAAAATTAAGTGTATTGTTCAACAAATTTATAAGTCCAATGTGTGTGAAGAATGGATAATTAAGTGAAAGATACTTAAATCTTTTTTCTGTCAGATTGTTTTTATTATAATGGTTTATTTTCTGTTGTAAAACAAATGTCATTTGATAATATTTAGAAAAAAGGAAGAAACAGTGTTTCAGTTCCAATTGCAGTCTCCCTTTATATGTCTTCCATTTCTTTTTCTATGTATAGATTTTAAAAGACAATTAAAAATTTTCCTTAAATTTATACTTCCTTTAACATGAAATTTGCTTTTTATATAATGCTATTAACATCATTTTAGTAGTTTGATTGTGGTATCCTCATGAATGAGCCGTAACACACTGTCATTCTCCTATAAGACATTTGAGTTGTACATGAAGTTTTAATCTACTCTAATTCAGTTTATATTTTTACAGAAGGCTTTTTTCTTGTATTTAGAATTTTTCCTGAAACTAGATTACAAAAAATGAAATTATGGAGTCAAAGATTTTAGCATTTTATTATCTGGAGTTGAGTAGTTTTGTCAAATACAGCTTGTTTGACATGGAGGTTGGTGGGTATTCAGGTATGTTGAGAAATGAATGAAACACTTAACTAAAATCAATAGGATAAAGCCTACAAAGTTACTTTTGTTCTCATCCTTAATGCCCAGGATCAATTTTTACAGATGTGACAGTTTAAAGCAGACACGAGGCAAGCTAATGTTTTCTTTCTTCCAGCTGTTGTTATATTTCTAAATTCATATTTTTCCCCTTCCTTGAATTTTGCTTCTCGTCTTTCCCTGCTGCCCATATCCCTCTTCCATGTAGAGATACAGATGTCTGTAAGGGGAAGCACCTTATCCAAGTACAGGCAATGGCAACATGTACAATCAGAATAGATCCCCAATCTGGATCCTGGGTGAATTTCTTCCCTCGGCCATGATGACTTGCTGTATTATTTAGAGACTACTTATAGCTAAGTGATAAAAATGCTCAAGTTCAGGGCCGTGCATGGTGGTGTAGGCCTGTCTTCGCAGCACTCAGGAGGCTGAGGCAGGAGGATTGCTGTGAGTTCGAAGCCAGCCTGGGGTACACAGTTCAAGGCCAGCCTGAACTGTATAGTGAGACCCTGTCTCAAAAAAAGAATATAGAAAGTTCAAGTTCAGTCCCTCATCACTTTATATATTGTCCATTCCCAGCTCTAAACCTCAGTGATAAATTTCAAGATCTTAACCTGTTTTTTCAAAGATGTGTCTGCTTTGGTTCTAATCTTATACTCATTTGATAGCTTTGTCTATGCCTGTTTGGCATACTAATTAACCATATTTTTTGTTATATATTAATACTTTTTCTCTACTCAGAACTGCTTATATGACCAGCTATGAGAAGATTCCACTTTAAGATTGAAAATGTCTAAAGCTGGAAAAATTGGTTCATGTATTATGTGCACAGAAATGCTTTTCTGGCTTGAGATATTAGCAGGTTGCCCAGGGTTTCATTGCACATAAAAACCAATGTGGATTGTGGGCTGAAATTCAATTAAAGAAAATACTTTTGCATATATTTGTGGCTCTCTGACTTTTTTATGCCAGATTTGGTTGTGGTTATAGCCACAGCAAACCAAAGGACATCTGGTTTGCATGGTATTTTAGAGCAGTTTGTTTATAGATAATAGTGCCTTTTTTTTTTTGTGGCACGGGGGATAGAAGCAGGGCCTTGTATATGCTAGGTATGTGATCAGACCCTGAACTACATTCCCAGTACCCTAAGATCATGCTTCTTGACTATGTGTTTTGAATAGTTTTATGTTTAGTTGAGTATATGACAGTCTTTTCCTCGTGGAAGTACTATGGTTGGAGTGTGTCCCCCAGTGGTTCATATGTTTGAAGCTTGCTTCTCATTGTACCATTGTTGAAAGGTAGTGGATCGTTTTAAGAGGTTGAGCCTAGTGCAAGCTAATTAGGTCAATAGGGGCATGACCTTCAGGTAGTTAATATGGTTTCTGTGGCACTGTGGTCCTTTCCTGTGAGATTGTTGTAAAAAGTGTGATCCTGAACCTTGACTCTCTCTGGTTTCTTGTCTTACCATGTGGTCTCTCCTTGCACACAGTCCTCCTGTCTACCATGTGATAACAGCCAAGGGTAGCTGGAACCAAGCTCTTGAGCCTCCAGAACAATGAGCTAATAAGTAAACCTTTTCTTTGCAAAGCACCCACCTTCAAATATTTTATAGTAACAAAATGGACTGAGACGTGGGGACACTTACATGGAGATAGACAAGGACCATGTAGGAAACATTTTTGTAGTTCCCTAAGTAAACCCATCTTATACTGAATCAGTTTACTTCCTCTAAGTCAATGCTGTGGCAAGGGTAAAAATAAAAATTAAGAATCACGAGGTCAAGATCAGTGGATAACAATCTCTTGCCTTTGATTCTCATGTCCTCAGCTACTTCAGCCTCATGTGTGGACTAGACTAGGTAATAATCTGTCATCAGTGAAATGGCTCAGAACCAGCTGAGGGATGTTATGAAAGAAGCATGGCTGCTCCTACCCTGCTGTCTGTTCCCTGTCTGCGATATGATTGTTTACTTCGGCCATTGCTGTCTGTTCCATAAGGTGATGCAGGCAAGGAGTGGCCTTTACCAAACTTAGGTCATTTAAGCATCCAAAATTGTGAGCTAAATAAACCTTTTCTCAAAGTTTTTCCTCTAACTTCAAGGAAAACAGAAGGATGCCCAAATCTTGATTTTTCCCCCCCATCCAACACAGTGAATCAACCAGTCAGTCAAGTAAAAGACATCCAGATTAGAAAAGAATGAAATTCTGATTTTATAGGAGATAAGACCTTATGTAGAGAGATCTTAAAAATTCCAACACATAGAACTGATAAATTTTTAAAATTACAGATCACAAAGTCAGTATAAAAAGAGTACCAGTTCTATATGCTAACAATACATTATCTGAAAAAAAATCAAGAAAAAAATGTAGAGGTAAAAGATCTGTACACTTAAAACTATGAAAAATTGAGTTAATTGTATTTATCCTGCCCACTGCTCTCTCTTTCCCTCCTCTTTCTCTCCGTTTCCCTTCCTTTTCAACTCTCACTTCATTTATTTTTTTAGTGTTCACATATGAGAAGAAACATGCAATACTTGTCTTTCCGTGTCTGGCTTATTTCACTTCAAAGGATGCTCTCCAGTTCCATCCATTTTCCTGCAAGCGATGAAATTTCATTCTTTATGTCCAGATAACTCCATTGTGTACATATGCCACATTTTCCTTATCCCTTCACCAACTGAGGGAACCTAGACTGATTGCATTGCTTGGCTGTTGTAAGTAGTGCCATAATAGACATGGGTATGCAGGTGTCTCTACTATGCTGACTTTTCATTTCTTTGACTATATACCAAAGAATAGTATAGCTGAATTGTATGGCAGTTCTAGTTTTAGTTTTTGAAGAACCTCTATGCTGATTTCTGTAGTGACTCTACTGACTTACCTTCCCATGAATGGTATATAAGGGTCCCTTTTCTCCCATACCCTCACCAGCATGCATGCATACATTTCATTTCACTCATTCATTCTGATAGCCATTTGACTGGGATGAGGTTCAATCTAAATGTTTCCACTTGCATTTCCTTAATAAAGATGAATATTTTTTTTCTTATTGACCATTTGTAATTTTGAGAAGTGTCTCTTCAATTCATCTACCCATTTATTGATTGAATTATGTTCTTTAGTTGATAACGTTCTTTTTTGATTTCTTTATATATTCAGGATATTATCCTCTCAGGTGAATAGCTGTCAAAAGATTTTTCTCCTCTTCTATGGGCTGTCTCTTCACTCTTGATTTTTTTCCTTTCTGATATACTCTTATTTGTCAATTCTTGCTATTTCTTGAGTTATTGCAGACCTATTCAGTTAGTCTTTGTGTGTACCTACGAATTCAAATGTTTTCCGTATGTTTTCTTTTGTCAGTTTCAAAGTATTGGGTCTTAGAACTCAGATCCATTTTAAAATTGGTTTTTACACAGAGTAAGGGGTAGGTATCTAATTCCAATCTTCAATAAGTGGATATCCAGTTTTATTAAAGATGCAATTTATTTATAATTAAATATATAATTTATTTTTTTGGCTCCAGAATCAGATGGCTATAGTTGTGTAGATTTGTTTATGCGTCCCTCTATTCTGTTCTGTTGGTGTATGTGTCCAGTTTTGTGCCAGTACTGTGATATTTTTGATATTATGACTTTGTAATAAAATTTGAAATTAGGTATTGTGATGTTTCCAGCCTTGCTCTTTTTGCTTAGGATTGCTTTGAATATCCTAGGTCTTATTATATTAATTTTAGTATTGAAGAATGTCCTAGGAATTTTGATGGGAATTGCATTGAATCTGTAGATCCTCTTTAATAATATGGCCATTTTGACTATTAATTGTGCTGATCCATGAACAGGGATGTCTTTCCATCTTCTTGTGTCTTCTTCAGTTTCTTTCTCTGGTGTTCTGAAATTTTTATTGTGGAGGTCTTTCACCTCCTTAGTTGATACTTACCCATTTGTTTTGTGGCTATATAATTATAAAGCCCCAAGCTGTGAAAGAGAATTACGCTTTCAGTAAACAGTTTATATATTTTCTGTAGGTCCATAGCTTGACTTTCTAGTCATTTGAGAAAAACAAAAAGTTTTTCAATTTTG